ATCAAATACAACAATGTATTAATTAAAAATAAAACAGAAAATTTAATTATTTTTTTAATTTATGTAAAAAAATTTAAAATGATTATTAATTTAAAATGGAAGGAGTATTTTATTATACCACGTCTATCACGCTTACGAGTAATTAATTCGAGATTTCAACGATCTTTTAGATTTCTGATTCTCCAATTTAATAGCATAATACTTACTACTTTTTAGATCAAATCTATTGCATTTACCGAGGCTACTCATTTATTGCTAACTAACACGTATTACGAAAACGTTATAATTAATCAGCATCGGATTCCCCGGACTTGGGATATTATTACCACGCCTAGCATATCGAAAAGGTCTCGCAAAGTAGTATAGTTAAGGTTAAAGAATGATAGGTGTGGAGTTGGCTGTTGCAATTAAGGGGATCTAGATTGAATAAAGATATGATAGGTGATACTCATTTTTGTCACAGATAGTATAATTAATGGTAGCTAGGTATCTATTTTTTTCTTTCTATTTTTGCTCCTTACGTAAATTAAAATAAAAATGTGATAGAATTAGGAACTGTGTCTATAAGTAACGGTTTCGAGCAAATCAGTTCGACTGAACCTGCGTGTGGTTATAAGCATAGTGGTAGTCATAAACTTGTTACAGTTTTGTGTTTAATTTTACAGTATACCAAAAAAAAAAGTTATAAACTATGCACGGATTATTTGGTCGCTTGAAACATCGGTGTGGAAGTCTTTTTGTTTCAAAAAGGTCTGGCCGGATGTTATAATCAAACATAGATATGAGTTTATTAATGTCTATTCCCTTTTTCTCCTGATTTTTACTAGTGTCCCCACAATCTCACATTACTCTGCTTCTCCCCACAACAAACTTGTTAACCGTCTTTGATTTAGGCAGTGCCTTTTATTAAACCAATTCCAATCCGGTAATTGAACCAGGTTCAATACACGGTTACGTCATACGTGGCTCTGCATCCCAACATCTAGTAAACGAATCATAACACTCACTATTCATATAAGCTGACCCAAAAAAAAGAAACGAATCATCACATCCGTTTAAAGGTAAAATATGTGGTCTCTACATAAAAGACGATTTGGTAAATATAATCAAATGAAGTACAAAACCATATGTAAACGTGACATCCTTAGCTCTGTCCTGTGAGAACATCCTTGTACGGAGTCGGAGAAGACTCAGTAACGGCCTCTGCAGCTCTCGCCTTGGAGGCTAACTGGCCCCGGGGTTTGGCTCTATTGGAAGCTTCGTCAGCTTCCATTTTCCTTATTCTTTCTTCTTCAACAACAAGAGGGAGATATCCTTCTCTCTCTTCGAGAAGTCGGTCTTGTGCTCCGCCCCGTAGTTTCTCGAGGCGAAGCCCAGTGATTTGGACGAAGTTAAAAACCTTAACAACGTTCATCAATCCTCCCGCAAACAAACATATCGCCCCGGAAATCCCAAGCCAAACCCATCTTGTTCCCTGTAAAATTACTATTTAACATTAGTGGCCATTTTCAAAGCCACTTTTAATGTTGTTAGTTTGGTTTTTGAGTACTTACAAGAAGTTTCAAGCCACTATGAGATGACCCGGATTGGTCGAGGCTATTGATAACTGCGGAAACTAAGAATAGAAGGGATCCAACCAAGAAAGGTATGTGAACACACTGTTGTAGAATCTGGACATGACTGTCTGCTCTCTCGTAGATTTGGCACGAGTTGTGAATCGATCCTATCACCCAAAGCAACGGGCCCGCAAGAAGCATGTTTAACGCATGCTTCTCTCTTCCAGTGTATTTTAGTTTTGTCTCGGCCTAAATAGTTGGGGAGAAAACAGAGTGAACGTGACAACATTGTTAGCCATAATAGACAAAAACACACTAAGAGTTATTCACAACATTTAATTACTCTATTAGTAATTTTTTGTGACATGAACAAGTACAATGAAACAAAAGACAATGTCAGATTTGCCTTTAGGTTGTTCAAGGCCTATTATTCCAGGGATCTTTTGGATACAATGTGAATATTATTACCAATAAAGGAACCGTTTTGATTACATGAGATTATTCCACGGCTTGTTCAAATACTAGCTATAATTGTTATAAGAATATGATCACACCGGACATAAGTACATAATCAAGTCAGTTCTCTTCTCTCAAGTACTTCTTACATAATGGGGGATATATGTAAAAAGAAAAAATTATTATCCGAAATTCATGTGACATACTTAGGGTCATCAAATGGTCAATGATATGATGAACCCTACATTTTTGATATAACAATGAAAGTTTTACCTGATTGAAAACGAACAAGATTCCCAAGAAGAAAACAACCGAACCCGCTATTTGAACCAGAGGGACTGCAAATTCCACTAGACCCAGTTGCAAATCATACTCCATTAACCTTAACCTGTAATCACATAAACAATTAGCTCATAACTAAAAACGTTGTTCTTATTATCACCTAACATTTGTGGATATAAAAATAATATATACATTTCACAAATACGCATGCATCGAGCTTCCAAATTTTTGTACATTTCTACACTAGACAAAATTTCTACAAGAATTTATATCATCAATGAAAGGAATCGATTAATCAAATAAATAAATCAAGTATAGCTTTCTTGCATTCAAATATCATTATATCATACCGGTAATCGATTCCGGCTAAATGAGCCACAAGATCGTGAACATTCACGGCGGTAATAAGAGCAAGAGCCAAGAGAATAAGAACGAGGCCGGATCTTGGCTCCCACGAGAATCCTGTCGCCGTGAAACCACCTATGAGCACGACGGTGGCGAATAGATATAGACCTGCATTGATGTACTCGGCTCTGCTCCTCCCGAGCCGAGGGCCGTACGTTCTAATCTCACGCGCCGTCGCGAGTTTCACCATTTGATCGGGGATTATGCGTCT